TTGGCATGCACAGGTATGAGAGGAATAAAATCCAGCAAGAAATAGATTGCAGTTTAACACCAACTGATTCATTTTCTTTCTGTGAGTTATCAAGGGGGAGAATTATTAATATTATATTTACAAGGTATGGTTGTTTACAACTTTGGATCCCAGAGGCTGCTGCTAATACGAATAGTTTATTTCTTACATTAATTATTAAATATATAATACCATATATAAGGTGCTCCATGGCAAATACTTAAATTGCCAAGTACAAATAAATTACTGAACAATAAGCAGCAAGCAAACAGACAAATAACTCATTGTGATTGGCCACTGAGCCCAGTCCCAGCATACGCACGCAGCACGCTCTCATGTACACCAGGCACACAGAGAGGGCTGGAAAAAACTTAATTGATTTACTGAAGGTCAACTGGCCCACCAATGATTACCCCCTGGTGGTCAGTCCGACTAAGACCATAGACTCTATATTAAAATGGATGGCTCCGAACACCACAAACACGGCCTTGAGATTACATTTGGTCACTTAAATTAGCTGAGGTGATGTCTGGAGGACAGTTAGCGGTGACACACACTGCAGTTCCTCAACTGGCCATTCGAGGAACTGCAGTTTTTGAGACTTCTGTGTTAGCTTCATTCTTCAGGCCAGAGGTTGCTGCTTGACTATGACAGACGGGTCTGTTGTGTGTTAGTGAGAGCGAGACAGTGAGAGTGAAAGGACAGGGCAAGGAGGGGCTGAGAAAATCATGGCTCTGCACACAGCTCTACAATGAAATAAGATTTTATCCATTTGAAAAAAAAAAAGGTCAAGCTGAAACAATTAGTCAATAGACAGAAAACGATCAAATATTTTGATCATCAATTATGCAATATGACACATGTTCTTCATATAAATATTGTGTAAACCAGTAAAGTGTTTTTCTGGGAACTAATGAGCAGAAAAAAACACTGGTTAATGGATGAAAGCCTGTTCCTGGCTGTACATTGCAGTTTATCTTGGCTAAAGCTGCTGTTACCCTATAGCAACAGCTTGTCAGTACAGCGAAGAGTCATTTGTGTAATCCAAACTCTTGTCTGTTGCTTTTAGCTTTTCAGTGGTCTTACCATGACAGGTCTTTTCTGGGAACATCTGAGAGGGAATTGATTCAGTTGCAGGAAGTGAAGGAAGGAATGAGCAGAGACAAATGTAGATATGGAGTCATTTGTCTTTTGAAAGCTGTATTTTTGAGCCAATGGCTGATAGGGTGCCAAGTGTCTTTTGAGTGTGTGTGTGTGTGTGTGTGTGTGTGTGTGTGTGTGTGTGTGTAAGACTTTAGGTGATAGAAAACACTCTCACAGTTTCCTGCATCGCTCAACCATGCGACCAGGATGGTTTCCCCACCTGGAGATCGATGGGAGTCTTTTAGTGTGAGGATCAAAGGTCTTCATCTACTTCTTAAAACGCACACACTCTGCACAAAGAGCAGAAAGCACTTACACACAGCGGGAGAGCACTTTATCCAGTCTTTTGACCTTAGCATGTTGTGTGGAAAACTTGAGTGCATGATGTCAAGCCCATCAAACTTTTGTGGAAATTGACAGAAAATGACCACAGTTGCAATAAGTATAATGTCAGTATGAACAGAAGTTAGTCATGCAGCTTTGTAGCTGAACTGTCACTAGCATCAGTCTTGCACACAGCAAGTACTTGGCAACATCTATTGGGCTTTGTTTTAAATCTTTTGGGTCTCCTTCACTAACAGTGTCTCCTATGCAATGTGTTTTTGTACTGCTGCTTTGCTTTGGCAAATATGTTTAGGAAGAAACAAAATATCTCCCTGGGTTACATCTACTAGCAAATTGTACAATCCAAGAATGTAGAGTCATATTCTGCAAAGACATTGAGGGGAACGTGTTGGGATGGATGACGGTGTAATCCAGATGATATTGACTTTATTACAAATGTTTTTTTTTTGGGGAGACAGGACTGCTCTTAGGAAGAAAGTTAATGGGATGTATCCCATTTTGATGCTGTTGATGAAATGTGTTTAGAGGCACCTCAGTAGAACCAACCAGAGTGGCTGCGCTCGATTGGACAAGCCATACATGCATACTCTATACTGATTTCCCCCAGGTTTTATGATATGCTAACATCCACAATGCACATCGTTACTTACCTTACTGTAGTGAAGAATGTCTGAAAAATTAATTTTGTTTGTCTCTGAATATGAAACTCTGCTCTTGGAATTGAGTAAAAAATCTCAAGCATGGCAGAAATGATCAGGGAGGATGGGAATAGCACAATGGAAAAATAATATTTGCAACCGAAACTTCAGTAAACTTCACAGTCCTCATGTGAGACAGTTAATGGCCGGAGATACACTGATATTATATAAGTGGATAAATGGAAGGCGCTACATTTCCTGGGGACACAAGAGGAACGTTTTGTTAATATTGTTATAATAAAAATAATAATATTTAGGGATATAGGCCTTAAGTGGGACCATATTTTCATCACAGGTCGACAAGAAAGGGGGTTTGATTTTCTCTGGCTATTAAACAACACAACTAATCCAGACTTCTTTCTAGTATTGACAAAAGAACAATACAGAATACACTGACAACAAAATAAAATCAAAGACAACCAAAAGACATACAACCTCAGACAAACATAGGAACAAACTACAAAATCTGGCACAATTAAATTTAAACAATTAGACTTGGACCTACTTTAAGAGCACAGAGGGCTTGGATCAGAGGATCTCAGATCTCTGACAGTGTGGTATGAGGACTATAGTTCACTTATATAAGCAAGGGCGAGACCATATAGTGATTTGTAGATAAAAAAAGAAGCTTCTTGATTCAATTCTACAGTAAGAGGGAGCCAGGGGAGGAAGGAGAGTTGGAATAATATAATGTCTCTTTCTTGATAATGTTAAAAGCCTTGGTGCACCATTATGAACAAGGTGGAGACCGAATGAAAAGGTCTGAATAATACAAAAATATAGTTGCAGTAATGAGGGATGGATATGAAGGTGTTGAGTCTCCGAGTCAGACACACATGAGTGACCCTGAGTTTGAAAATAGGAAACAGTTGGTTGAAGCAGAATTGAACTGCCTGGTTCATTTTTGATTATCCAACTTCAATGCTAAAAGCTAATACCAGATTTTTTGCTCATGACTTGCGGCAAAATCAATTAATTCATGTAAATGAAGTAAATCCACCCAATTCGTCACATTGCTGTTGACCGACAGGAAGTCTTCCTGGCAGTGCTGACCATAGGAAGACTGAAGAGCCAGAGAATGCAAAATGGACAAGGCCATTGTAGCTTACTTTATTAGCTGTGTTGCATCATCCACTTCAATTAAACCCTCCTCTGTCCAAGTATAAATTGTTCCAGAAAAGAGCCATAATTTGCGGACAGTTTTGAGACAGGATTTGGTGGTACAAATATGTTTTGTGAAATCATTGTCCCGCTGGTGACAGCTGACAGCTAGCAGTTGTCAGTTTGAGAGCTTTAAGAGTTAGAAAACATTTTTCCCCCCTTCACTAACTCTTTACTGAATGAAATATTATCTATCCTGAGAATAAAAAATAAACAGCACCACTTCAGAGAATATAGAAAGTCAATGGGGGAGCAATTTCAACTGACTAATGTGGTTTGCTAATGGTAAGCTCACCAGCTACAGCTTTCTGGTGTAGCTGATTTTCTTTCATGCATGAGTAAATAGTATGCCCTGGAGGCACTTATTGGGGCCTGTTAGTTTGAAGTTATTCGGCTTTAAATGTAAGTGAATTAGGGTGTCATCAGCAAAACAGCAAAAAGAAATATATTATTTGGATCATGTACAAGGAGCTGTCACTGAAATAATTCTTCTTTTTTATAGCTTTCCTTTTTTTTGTATCTTTTCCACTTATAACTTCTCATGTCGTCATATATGAATTCCATTTCCTTGGCATTACATTTCAATTCCACCTGTCACCTTGTGCAGGCTAAAGGACTGAAGAGATTTAGTCTTATTTGATAGGCTGCCAGCAATTCAGATATCTGAACATAGGCACATTCACCCTGTATATAGATACATAAAGACATAAAAACAGATATATTTCCTATTGTACTCCAAACAACAGGACAGTTGTTAAGTCTAGTGATAAAGAATGGAAAAACACAAATAGGCCATGGATTATTCCCCCTCTGCATTTGCGTAAAGGACAAGGGGTTGAGTTTTCTATGGCCTTTTCTTGTCATCTCTTTTTTCATTTGAAAGTGAGATTTGACAAAATTGATTTGATCAAAATGGATTTGAAATGGGATGAATGATTTTATTTTCATGTCTGATCGTTTACATGACCCATCCCTCATCGAATTATTCAGACACATTCATCAACAGTAACACTGGAGTAATACGTTTTAACATTGGTGCATGGTCGTCAGAGTTAGTCTCACCAACCTTTTAGTCTGTTTAACTATCCCAAAAACTTGTTGAGATTTTTATAACCAACACTAATATTCATCTACAGCAGTGGATCAGCACAGATAACCTCAATCTGTGATAGATAATAAGACTGCAAGGCATATGAAAGATATTTTAAGATATAGTAGAGACTGCCTTTGTTTTCTTGATTCCCCAAGGACTCGATCACCAAAAAATGAGTAGTCAGCAAATAAGAAATTTGATCAGTTGCTTCTTCAAATATTAAAACAAGGAAAATTATTTAAAACAGTTCATCTGCTACTGTAACACACTCTTAAACTGAGGTTATATTGGTGGATTGAAAATTCTTAATTACATTTCAAATGAAAACAATTGGTTGAGAAAGAAATGAGATGAGAAAAGATGAGCTACATCAAAAAGGGCTTCTTGTTGCTGAGTATAATCAGGAGGCCAAATTCAGTTAGAAAATGTGCCTTAATTCTCACTAATTGATCAGTGAAGAGCCAAGAGTGGACAAATAGAAGATGTGTTGTTTTGCTTTCATTTTTGCTAAGCTTTTGTTGTCATCTCTCGTTTCTCCACAGAGGGATCCCAGGAAAGAAATGCGGCACTATCATCCTGTCTGCAGAGGAGCTGAGCAATTGTCGGGTGAGTAAGCCATAATAATCTCCCCTGCCAAACACACATTAGCAGGACAACAGCTGTCAGCAAAGCCTGGTTAAACAGAATTCGCACATGAAGAGGATTGAGCAGGATGGAAGCTCGAAGGGGCAAATGAAGAGTTGGCAAGCATCCACAAACAAAGGAAACTTCCTGTTGACTGACTTGAGCTGAAAAAGTCTGTGTTCGTTCCATTGCTGCTTTTAGAAACATTGCAACATTTTCATCGTCTAGCACATCTATTATTTATTTATTTATTTATTTCTATCTATCTATCTATCTATCTATCTATCTATCTATCTATCTATCTATCTATCTATCTATCTATCTATCTATCTATCTATCTATCTATCTATCTATCTATATCACACACACACACCTCAGAATATAACAGACAGGGCAGCTGCTCTCACTCTGTGTAGTGGCCTGCAGTCTAATGAAATGGCCCAGCAACATTACGGGGTGAGTGCTAACAGTCCCCTCAACCAGTGCTGTGGCGTAAAGTGTCGGATGCTTCACTGGACTCCCAGCGAGCAGATTAGAACAGGATATTGAAAAGCAAGAGAGTGCAAAAGAGCAAATGGCAGAGAGAGACAGAGAGAGAGAGATAGATAGATAGAGAGAGAGAGAGAGAGAGAGAGAGAGAGAGAGAGAGAGAAGCAGTAAAAGAGAAAGAAAAAAAATGGCACAATGGAAATGAAAGAGCAAATGAGCAATGATGTGAGTGTATGTAGAAGAGAGAGAGAGCGAGTCAGACAGATAGAAGCAGATACAAAGACAGTGAAGTGAATCAATAGAGGATTATTTCATGCCCGGCGTGTACCAGCTCTTAGCCATAAAAACTGCTTGGCTGATGATAGTGTGAGACCGAGCGCTAGTTAATTAAAACACAGCCCTGTCTGACCTTGTCCCCTGCAGCCTGTGACACACACACACACACACACACACACACACACACACAAACAAGCATACACATTCATACACAATAATACATATATAGTATATACACATGCAAGCACGCACACTCACTTTCTCTTTCACTCACTGGTCTTTGTCCTCATACATACAAACACACCCACATTAACATGGAAAGCCTGACTCAAGCTGCAAAATGCTTTGTTACATTTGATGTCACCAGCACAGAATGGACTTTGAAATAAGATGGATGGCACAGCACTAATGGAGACACAGACTGTTGTTGTTATCAGTTAAAATAGCTATAATCAATATTTTTTATATTATTTATGGATCATATGACTGCTTTTATGTTAATGACAAACCCACAGAGAATTTTTATGTACGCCTCAGCTCTACAGAGGGTTATGGTGTTTTTCAGCTCAGTGTTGTCTGTAACTTCACTGCTTTGGTTCACTCTCTCTTTGAACTTCCCTCATAGTGCTGTTTTTGGTTGCAACTCGCAGCTGTTTTCAGCGAAAATACTATAAAATTCACTCTACACCTCATAAAAAAGAGTTTGCAACTAGCAGTTTAAGAGCTAGATATTTCTCTCGAGAGCTGGTGGGGACCAAAAACAGAGCCAACAAACAGAGTCAACAGAGGACCTACATTCCACAGGTGGCCAGAAACACCTCCAACACATCTCCAAATGAACGCTAATGTTGCTCCGTATCTGCTGGATATGGAAATAGGCTAGCAAACAAGTCAAACATGACAATATATCAGTGTTGCATTTATTTCTTGTTCTTGTTGCCCCCAAATAGTCAAAATATCAGCTACTGTATGTTCATGGACCAGCTGAAAAGGAGCACCATGATCTTTGGTACCTTCTGGGTTCAGCTAGCATCTAAGCTCAGAGTCCTACCATGCCGTAGCCACACCTTAAAAGTGCCAACCATTTGCTTCATTACTGTAAAATATGCTGACAACTGTGTCGTTCCTTGTCTATAAATGCTGACTTGTCCTGATGAAGTCAGAAAACACGGACCTGCTAAAGTAGATCCAGCCACACTTATCTTCTTCTTCACCATGAGTGGTGGTTAAATTTTCATTTCTTGTTTAGACGATCACAGAGATGGATGCATTTGGGGCTCCACAAATGTTTTTAGTGAAAGTGCATTGCACAATCAAAGGACTTCATAAATATGTAATTCACAAGCTCTTTAAACTCTTAATTTTACCCTCAACTTCAAGAGCTTTAAAGTGAGACTAAGCCTTTATATCCAGACTTAATGACAAAAGCATATTCTGTGTTTTCTTTTGTTCCAGCACTTTGCTGAAGCTATATGATCCTCATTTTGAGTAAAATATTCAAATCCAAGATTCCTTGTGTATAATTTTACACATTTCCCTGTAATTCAGCCTGACACATTCGGTATCTTTGGAAACAATGAGACCTCGACTAGAATCTAAAATAAATTTCTGGGTTTTGCAAAATGCTTGTCTGCACAACATGAGTTTGTAATGATGGCCATGGCGGTGACTCTGGCAAAGAGGTTAACACACATTTAGCATTCATGAACTGATATTATTCATCAGTTTCCATTCGTGATGTAGTCTCAGTTTGTAAAGTGTATATGTGGAGTGAGAGTGTTTTTTTCTTTTGCTTACATTCCCAGCAGTGAGGAAGTAATTTGTACAGTCACGATTTCATCAATTTTACACACAGTTTTCAGTCAAAGCTTCATTGCAGCACTGGCCAACTGTGGTGTTTGCTTTTTGTAAAAACTTTGCCTAATTTACTATAAAACTTCTTTATGATGCAGGCAGGGCAGAAAGTGTGTGCTGTGCAGTTTGTGTCTCTCTATTTTTGTTTTAATACTGCAATGGTCTACCAGTTTGAGAGGGGAATGCATCAAATAACCCTGGTTAGTGCTTATTAAATTCTTTCAGGAGGTATTCTAAACTTCTGTATAGCTGCATTTAACATTATAAACATGACAAAAAAGTTGAAAACTCCTAATAATGTGCTTCTCAACGTCTCATAGGAACAAATATGGGAATTGAGAAAGTCAACAGAGTTGTCTGTTAGTTAATATTTACATTTGGGTCTGTAGATTTTATTGACCAGAGCTGTTTAATCTTGAAACATTAATATAAAACTACAAAATGTAGACAAGTCTCTCATTGTTCTGATACCTCTTTTAATTAGTCTAACTTCAGAAATTGAACACCATTAAAATGGTGATCAAAGGGGGAGCAGCTAAAGATAATAAACTTAGGTTATAGCAAAATGTTTGACAGCAGAAACCATCAAATAAGTAGCTTTGCAGAGGGAGAACATTACTGAGCCTATAATGACTGGCACAGGACATGAAAGCACACACGCTTGAAGTGCAAGTCAGCTTTGGCGTAGGAGGAGGAAACAGCTCTGTCCAAAGTCAAAAATATCTGCCTATCAGCACCTCTAGAACTCACTAATTAACATGTTGTATATCATTTGTTTAAACTGTGCGAACAGTGAAATGTAAAAACAAGTTGTGGTTTTTTGCTTGGAATTATGTGCATGTAACTCAGGAGAGAAGTGATCTTGGGTTTTTTCCCAAAGGATCAAACTATATTCCTTTAACATGGAACTATAACTGTGGATAAAAGAAATTCACCTATAAAAGAGAAGAGTTGAGGAAAAAAGGTGTTTGGTTAAAGGTAGGGTTATGCTCAGAGTGACATGCTGTCCAACCATGATGAAAAAGTGTTAATAGCTGGCCATCACTGAGAGTGGCGGACGCGGCATCGTTAACATATGTGGATAATAGCGCATATTTTCCGACAGTCTCTCCTGAAAGTGATTCATGGTGGTGCACACAGTTGTTCACATGTAAAGAAATCAAGAATGGGAGCTTGGGAGAGAGGCTGAAGCCTTGGTTCCTCTCTCACCTCCACACAGCTGACCAGTCAGGTGTGAAGTGAGTGTAAAGGTTGGACTGTCAGTTCCAGAAAGTTCCAGAAATGGTCAGACACAGCGACATCAAAAAGATGCTGAAGCTATTCGACCATCCAACCAACAGTTCTACAGAAGCACACCGGCAGCTGAACTCTTCTGTATCATCTCATCCATGACAGCATTCAGACCAGTCTATTCAAAGAGGAGGGCACTGATTATAACAGCAGCGATTATCATAACAGCTACCAGCTTTCACACACATTTTCTCTCAACCGCAAAGTAACATTAACTGCCTAAGTATATAACCTGGAGACAAACTAATTATAAATATTGCAACAAATGTCCCATCGTGCATGACCCTTCCCTCTCTACCTGCCACACTGACTGACTCTATTTTAATTATTTATGCTATTATTTTAATGCCCAAAGGGTACGACAGATTCAACAACCAAATGTAGGGTAGGAGAAAGCAGGTCTGATCATTTTCAATTAGCAGATTTCCACAACAGATTGACTTTGATAAATGTAAACCATATGGACAAAATACCATGAGGGCTTGAAGAAAAGAGCTGCAAATGAGGAAAATATTGTTCTCCCATTTGATCAAGTTTATGAGGCGTGCAGTAAAGTCATCAATTTAAGTATATTGCAATATTTTGCCAACTTCATGTGCTGGTTATTAAAAGTTTTTGGAGCTATCTAAACTCTATGACTATCAAAATATTGCGTTTTATAAATTTGATTAACTCCCACTTAACAAACACTTATCAACACACCCGAAGCAACCAATTTGCGTGGGTGGCTACGACTCCATGCAAATACAAAGTTTTCGGAGGGGGCTTCAGTCTGAAGCAGCTTTCAGAACAGAGTTCAGTGGCAGACTGTTTTAATTCCTGATCCTGCAGGATTTCTGACAAACACAGACCACTCCCTCACAATATCACAATAGGAAAAATCTGCTTGGAATATAAGATTCATATACTTTCTATGGATTTTCTTAATTGCTCAAATGTTATTGAGCCGATATTAAAAAGATGTCAACTAACACTAAATAATTAAATTCCTTTTAAATAATTATAAATAAAAAGCGCTTCAACAGTTTTTCATAGCACAAAATACAAACTAGATACTGGATCATCTGATTGTA